CTCGTCCCTGCCTCCCTAACCTGTTCTTCCTCCCACCTATCCCCTCCTCCCACCTCAAGCCGCACCTCCATCTCCTACCGACCAACCTCATCCCGCCCCCTTGACCTGTCCGTCCTCCCTGGACTGACCTATCCCCTTCCTAACTCCCTACCTACACTCACCTTTCCTGGCCCCATCCCCGCCTCTTCGACCTGTTTGTTTCCTCTCCACCTATCCTCTCCTCTATCCCTCTTCTATCCGCCTCCCACTCTCTCCCTATTTATTTCAAAACCCCCTTCCCCTCCCCCTTTTCTGATGAAGGGTCTAGGCCCGAAACGTCAGCCTCTCTGCTCCTATGATGCTGCTTGGCCTGCTGTGTTCATCCAGCCCTGCACCTTGTTGTCTCAAATCTTTCCTGTTCAGTCTTGGCTTCAGTCATCTACACACTTTTTACTTCCTCCTGCCTCCATGATTAATCACTTTTTTACTTTCAAGATGTTGTGCAGATACAAGTTGGCGTGAAACTTCCTATCATGAAATCTAATCTAACGTCATATTTTATGTTACTTATCCTATTGTCACGGTGTAGTCATGTGTGGAGGCAGCTGAATCTAATAAGGAAATGGAAACCTTAATCAAAAGAAGATTAAGATACTATGCTTATTCTGTTTTACAGAATGTGGGCTATTGACAACTTTAACCACAACAGCTAGTGTCACTCCCTCTTCAAGTGGCGTTACTACAACTATTGTAGTCCATGACTTTTGCCAAGGCAGGTCTGATGGGACATATCCTGATTACTCTGATCGTAGTAAATATTACCAGTGTTACCATGGACAAACATACCACATGATTTGTGCCGAGCGTCTAATATTCGACGAAAATTGTAATTGTTGCAATTGGTCTTAATAAATTTATTAGTCACAAGTACATTTCCTTACAATGTATTGCCTAAAGACATAAATAAATAATTAAAGCTTACAAAATGAAAATAAACTTGCTGATATCCTCACTTGTTCTTGTGTTTACCAGAATTCAGTGTGATAATGATCAAGTGTGTCATAAGTAAGAACAGATGTCTTTTCATTTCAGCAAATTAATACTGTGCTGAATTACTTGGTTATGAGAAGAGGTTTAAGATTAATAAATAAACGAGCAGGTGAAATACCTGCGCAGAGGAGGGTATGCCATCAATAAATCACCCTTTATTTACTTGCGCACAATATTTTGGCTGTGGCCAGCCAGCTCGGAGTCAGTCCCCTAATTGGTTCAATTTAAAAGCTCCAATCAAGGATCTCGTAGTCAACAAGATCCTTCTGGTTCCAATCACTACTGCAGGGAATCTCACAAATGAGAATAGTTGGACTATTTGGACTATATTTGCAATGGTGTTATCAAAACACCTCAGCCTGATAATTGCATGAATTTAGAATCAGCTGCTATATGTATTAAACCCCTGGCACTGTTGATTTACTTCAAGCTAACTTATTTTCTCCAATTCTCACTGTAATAACTTACTCTTTCAGCATCAAAGCAACATAAATTGAAAGATTCTTCAGTTGCACATGTTTGGCCATTTTGTTTTGGATTTATAATTCCTTTTGTTTTATATTTTGCCCTCACCCCAATACAAACATAAATATCCAGATTCACAAGAGGATAAATAATGCAAAAACAAATAATCTGTGACTTGGGCCTCCACCCTCCCAAACACAAGTAAGCAGCATTAAAATGATGTTATAGCTCCACAACACACGAAAAGCTCAATATGATCCAAAAACAAAGAGCAACCCATTTGATTTGCACCCTATCCACCATCATAAACATTGACTTCTATTATCGCCAGGGTGCAGTGACAGCCATGTGTACCATCTGTAAAATGTACAACAACATCTCACCAAGCATCATTTGATATTACCTACCAAACCCACAATCTCTATCAAGTAGAGGGAGATGGGCAGGTACGTGAGGACAGCACCAACTCAAAGCTTTCCTCTTCAAGTCACATAGCATTCTGACGTAGAACCATGTCACCATTCCTTTGATTTCACTCGATCAAAATCCTGAACTTCCCACCTGATTAGTACAATGGTTGCACCTACACTGCGTGGATAGCAGCTGTTCCAGAAGGCATCACTTTCTCAAGGACAATTAAGGATGAACAGTAAGTGCTGCCCTTGACAGATAAACTCACATTCCAAGAATAAGTATTAAAGAATACCCACAGGCAGACAGGGATCTAACTGAAAACATTCTGCCAAATAAAATTCCTACTCCATCCCATTTATGCTTCCCCAAAAATTACTAATCTGCTACATAAATGAAAAGTACCATTTTTTATCTGGTGAAGATAAATGCCAGGAGAATTTGAGATGCCAAAACCCAGAAGTTTCCATTTTCCTTCCCAAGTCAATTCCCAAAAATGCTTTTTCTGTAAAGTGTTGGAGGCCAGTCTGGTATTACGGTGGTCTGAGGTTGTGTCAAAGTTGGATTGATGCAGGTGAGTTCCTTTCAAATGATATTGTTGCATTTCATTCATTGAAATAAGCACCAAACAAACTTTTCTGTGTGAATCAATGATTTTATTCTGCTGTTTAAACTGCAATTTATATCTTCAGATGAGGCAAATCAGATGTGGTACATTTGCCATCTTTATTCATGAAGTAGTGTCACTTCAGTAATTGAACCGAAGACCAGTTACAGCTTCACTGGTGCCCAAAGAAGATTAATGACAGGCCTGAAAAATAGAGAGTATTTCAGTGTTCTCTCAACAACAATAATGTAATAACATAATATTATAATGATAACAATAATACTTCAATATCACATTGGTGCCATAGAAACAGCATATAAATAGGGTCCTTTTTAAATTATAATTACTTTCTTGTTTCCTCACCTTCCTTCTTACCCAACAACACATCTTCATTCATAGCATTCCCCAATTCCCAAACCAGCTTCTTGAACATATCGGAAAGCAGCTTGGGCTGAATTAAAAGTCCATATGCAAACATTTACGAAAATTACTGAGGAATATTGATACACTAGGTGAATGTACAAAACTGCAGTAGATGGCGTTCGATGTAAGCAAATTTGAGGTTATCCATTTTGGCCAATAAAAGGGTAGATCAGGATATTTCACAATGGTATGGAAGTTTAATTCAGTGAATTTCCAAAGAGATTTGGGGGTTCAGGTGTATAAATCTTTAAAATGCCAAACAGGTGCAGAAAATAATGAAAAAAGCTAATGCTGCCATTTATATCTAGGGGAACAGGAGTGCAAGGATGCAGAAGTTATGTTGCAGTTATACAATACCCCTGATTAGATCCTACTTGCAATACTGTGAGCAGATCTGGGCACCACACCTTGGGAAGGATACATTGCCCTTGGAGGAAGTACAACATAGGTTTACTAGTATGATACACAGACTTCACAGGTTATTGTAAGGAGCAATTATACAAATTAGACCTGAGATTTCTGGAACTTAAAAGGTTAGGGGGTGATCTGATTGAAGTCTTCAAGATATTAACTGGAAAAGACAGGGTAGATAAAGATAAACTATTTTAGTTGTTTGGACAGTCTAAAACTAGGGGACATAGTCTAAAAATTAGGGCCAGACCATTCAGGAGAGATTTTAGCTAACACTTCTACACACAAGGAGTCGTAGATGTTTGGAATTCTCTTCCACAGAGAGGTGTGAATGTTGGATGAATTGTTAATCTGAAATAGCTATATATTTGTTCAGCAAAGATATTAAGGGATGTAGACTAAAGGCAGGAATATGGAGTTAGGCCACAGATCAGCCATGATCTCATTTTATGGTTGGACTGGCTCAAGGGGCTGAATGGCCTATTCCTGTTCCTATGTTCATGGGTACTGCAGCTACTCAACCAGGTGGCAAACTACAAGTAAAAAAGGAGAGGCAATAAATGTTGACTTTGCCAGGATGTCCACATCACGAGAACAAATAAAAATAATGCCACACACTATCCATTTCAACCCAACTAAAGGTAGGATAATTAACTTACATTCTTCTGACTTTTAGAATTGAATTTTTTTGGAACTCAGCAGACTGTTTTTTTGCCAACTTTGCCCAATTAGTTTGAATTCTTGATGTATTCCTGGGAATACATTAGGAATTGTATTCAACAAGATTCTATACCACTGAAAATTGTTGCATTGTGAATATCTAATTTCATACAGGCATTCCTTTTAGCAATTAAAGATAATTGGAAATACCCAATTGAAAAACTGATAAAATGCTGCAAATCATTCCGATCTTGGGTAACTATTTTTCAAAAGGGAAGTTTCATTGTACTGCTGAGATGGTGGTAAAAGGTTTTCCCACCTATTATCACAATATCCAATCTGAACCTTTCTGGTTGAGGATGTTTGGCTCAAGACATTTCGGGGAAGGCTTTTGAAGTTGGAGTCAACCAGGAATATTTAAATTATTAAATTATTAATGTGGGTTTGCAGATCAAACGAGCTTTAGGAACAATCAGTAAATAATAAGTTTCTTGATGGATTTTGGGAGTCTGCTGAGATGGCTTTATTCCCAACAGAGACAGAGTTTCAGATCTCAAAATGTTAACTCTGATTTCTCTCCACAGATGCTGCCAGACCTGCTGAGCTTTTCCAGCAATTTCTGTTTTTGTGTCAATTAGCACTTATTGTGTGCATTGTCCATGGAAATACTTCTACCAATCAGTATCCACTTGCAGTATCACTGATCAGCACTCTCCTCTCATTCAGTATAAATGTTGGTTTTCCTGTCGAATTGTTATTCTTGCAAATGTTCCTGTTAATGGAAAGCTTCGACAAAATGTATCTTTTTGCAGGAGTAGTCAAGTTCTGAATTAGCAAGTGAATATGTGAAGAGTTTGTTTCACTTAATGATTGTACAGTCATTTTTTCTTTGTTTTAAAAAAAAGGAAATTTGGTGCTGTAATTCTTTCAGTTCAACACAGGGCTTCAAATATTGCTTCAAACATTAACAGACTCTATGGAGATCATTGTAATTATTTTGCACAGAATGCCCATTTTCAATTGTGACTTGGATCATTGAGAACGCCCTACCTTCTACTTATGCCCAGTTGCAACAGTCACAGGAAGGGTCAAAGACTAGTCCAGTAGCACAATTCTTCAGGTAGGTCACTCCATTCACACACTGGTAAAACTTGCTCCTGGCTTTTGGATCAGTGTAGACACCGTTAGCTTTACCAGCACAGAACCCACTGCCACTGCTGCCACCACTGTCATTGCTGCCACCACCGCTGGGAGCCTGTGTAGGAGGAACAGCTGGTCGCAGCGTCGTTTTAGATGGAACACAATCTAGAAAGAAACAAAATTCATTGATTCATCGCTTGCTTCAAAATCGGTAACAAATGAAGAGATGCACATTATAAAGTCATGGGCAATTGCTGCATTGAAAAGCCTTGGACAAAACTCAATGCTTCATGTATTAGGAACAAGTTGCTTGCAAATTCAATTAAATAAGAACACTGGGGAAACCTTATAACAATGCCGATTCCGTGTCTGGAGTGTGTTTGTTGCAGTGCAGATCTTGAAGTGGGATTTATTTATCATTTTATTTTAAATCAGGTTGCAAATAATGTGTGTTAGATGTCATTGAACTGCCTGTGATAAGAAAAAAACTGATCAATTCTTCTGTCACGATTTGATATCCCTTTAAATCATGTAATTTGTTTCAAGTGCCAGTACATTCTGGATGCAATATCTAGTGCAAATTCATGACTTAGCCTGTTAACAGGCATATATGCTTCAGTATTTAACTGCTTGGCTCATCTTTTTTCAGAGGATTGTCATGTTCATAGATGCTCAGCATTATTCTAGCAGTCAGATATCTTTAGTTCCAATATTTAAATTGAAATATTTATCAGTAGTCCAAAGAGTTCTTAAGATATTTTAGTAATTAATGGCTGTCCATGCAGTCTTAGTTGTGACAACAAGTAATCAACTTGGAGTTTAAAGAACCTGATAGTTACTTGCAGAGATTCCAAGTCCAGTGTGCGGTGCATTAATAAGAGGGTAAGGCCACTGGTCACAGAAAGAACCAGAGAAATCATCCATGCCAAAAGTCCACACCATAGCTTCTCCATAGTTGTTCTTTTTCAGCCATTCAACCTAAAAGACATAGGTCACAAATTCATTTCATAAATTCTTGTTTGCAAACAATTTTACCCCAAATATAAATTAAGATTGGAAACTCAACACTGTAAAATACAAAAGGAATCTTCCGAAATTGTGGAAATGCCGAAAGGTTACCTTTGCAATGAATATCGATCCATTCAACTTCCATCATGGACTAGGGAATACTTAATTTAATGACCATGAAAACGGATATTACAAATTTCACTGGTATTGCTGCATTCCGGTATCTGTTAATCAATCATTTCAGAAACTGTCACAGATTCTGTCATTGATTTGTAAGTTGAATACAAAGAGCTGGACAGATAGAAATATGAACTACCAAAACTCTTCTGTCAGGAATTTGATAGGAAATAAAAACGGTGGCTAGAGCTCATCAAAAAAGATATTAAATTAAAAGCCATTGAAACAGATAACTCAGCAGACATGGATGAACCACTTTTATAGTGTTGTTTCATTGGCAATTTTCTGTGCGATTTTTCCTTAGCCTTATCACTGAAGTTGACAATTGGGATACAAGACCAAAGTTAAAACAATCTTTTTAAGAAAAAGCAAGGTTCAAACAACCCAATTGTATAATGTTCTTGTTATTCAGTTGATCAACATCATAGCATGATTCTAATGTTTAAGAAGACAAATTTGTTGTATGTCATAACACATATTGCAACAAATACCAAATAGAAAGTCTATGACATTAGTGTATCAAAGTTACCTTGTCTTTAAAGCTTTGTACATTGTCATATCCAACCCATATATTTCCTTTAAAGCCATATGGAACCAGCTGTGGAGCATCCCATTTCGTAGTTCTGCCTTTCAAAAATGTGCAGATCTGTCAGAAGAGTAAGATATTAGCATTCAAATTGTCAGTGGTTCCTTACAAAGCTGATAGTATGGAACTGGTGAATGAGGTTGGCACATGAGCTGCTGGTTACTGTAAGTAATGTTTGTATAAAAATTCATTTCCCTGTAGGGAGGGAGGCTATGGAAGTAAAAGGTTAAATAATGCCGCTTTACCTCTTGTGCATTTTCCAAGAAGACAACCATGCTCAGAGTAAGATAGTCAATTGCCTTCAGATGTCTCTGTTCATCTCAGTATAATGCCTGAAATCCTGTTCCTTTGCTAACTGAGGCAGCAATAAATCCATACATGGGAGAGAAGATCAGATAGGGATGTCTTTGCTAGGGATATCGGAATGCACAGCTTGTTTTTTAAAGAGGGCCATCCCAGGCACTTCCAGCACTCAAACAGCACATGTTTGGAAAATGCATCACATGATGTTACTTAATCTACTTTAGAATGTTCGTTTGATGGGGTAGTACAGATGTTCTTGCAGTAAAGCTTGCATTCTTTTGGAGGGGGAAATTCACTGCATGGCTAGTTAACATTTGTAAATATAAATCTTATGGAATACGGTATGATACCTCATAATAGGACAAAACTCCAGATTGCTTGGTGTACTTCTCAGCTGGTGCAGGCCCTCCTGCTGGGGCTCCAATCCCTGTCTGGGATGAGCTCAGTATGAAGGTGTGGCCATATGTAGCAAATTCAACATTCAGTTTCTCTGCAGGGGTGCCCTTATCTACCCAAATTTTCATTGCATAGTTCTACAAAAAAAAGACACGAAAGTCATACAGCTAAAAGGGTGCTGCAGATCATCTGGTTGAGATTAGTTAAAAATTTTAAAATAGAATGACCAAAGTGATTACGTTCTATTTTCATCAACACTTACCACATTAAAGTGCACATTGGCGTAAGAATTAGAATTTGGAAGAGGATAAAGAGGGCTATTTTCTCCAGTCTTGGAGCTTCCAGATCCAGTAAAATCATATGTCATCACATTGAAAAAGTCAAGGGTTCTGTATGAGAAGAGATGTGAGTTACATGAATGGGTTATTTACTAAAATAAGCGTATACTTTCTGATCTATTAAACAAATGAGCACTGACGAATGAAACTATAGAAATTAAACAAGGGATGTGCATTTAAATTGGGCCTCATTGCCTCAGGGTATTCCAAGACAATAGGGCTCTTATTGACACATGGCTGTGTCCCTACCTCTGGGTTGAAAGGTCTGGGCTTACCAGAATAAGCTATTCTGGAGGTGCATTATGATACGTTAGAGCAGGTTAATTTCAGGATATGAATTCCAAAGCCATTCTCATCTAATTAAGTCATTTCAGCATGCAGTCACTGTTGTATTCAGATAAATACCCAGTCAGAGTGATATGATGCTGTGAGCTGCAGAATAAATGTTAGCAAGTATAATAGGTGATCCATTTCTTGAATAGATCTAGTGGCACTTTCACGTCTATTTAAGAAGGTATTGCAAAGTAACACTCTTTGAAAGTGGTATTGAATGGTCAGCTGAGAATATGTGTTCAAGTCTTTGAGCAGGATTGAACCTGGTATCATCTGATTCCAAATCAATTCAAAATAATTTAGATTCTTTTCTCTATTACCCACCTGCTTTTCATAGCTTGGAACTCAATGAAAGAAAGAACCATGAGTGTAGCTTTCCCAGCACTATCCAAGTTATGGGTAGAACTTAACTAGAATTTTCCCAGTCAAAAACCAAACCTTAAACCATGCAAGAAGTTAAGCAAATATTTCATGAAATTTGACAAGTAGGTGCATTTAACTCACCTTTCTTCATTTTTTCCAGCATTCCGTCACCCTCTCCTTCACCCCAAACCCCTCTCCATCCTCCCTACATTTAACCTCCTTCTCTATCTCTTGATTCAAAAATCGGCAGTTTTTGACAATTTTTTTTCAGGGCCATTTTCTATCTCTTGCCAAATACAGGCATCACACAAAGGAGCATAAGAACAGGAGTAGGCCAGTCAGCCCCTTGAATGCACTCCATCATTCAATGAGATCATGGTGACTCTGTAGCCTTGCTCCATATACCTGCCTTTGGCCCATTTCTCTTAATACCTTTGCTTAACCAAAAATTCTGTATCTTAGACTTCAAATTGATTTAGCATCAACTGCCATTTGTGGAAGACAGTTTCAAACTTCTATCACCCTTTGTGTGTGGAAATGCTTCCCAGCATCTCTCCTGAATGGTCTGGCCCTAATTCTCCAACTATAACCCCTAGTTCTAGAATCTCCAAACAGGGTAAATAGTTCATCTATGCTGTCTTTTCCTATTAATATTTTGAAGGTGTCAATCAGAACACCTTTAACCTTCTAACTTCTGGAGAAAACAGGTATAATTTGTAATATTCTGTTCTCAGAACTTAAACCCTGAAGTCCAACTATCATTCTACTAGGCCTACATTGCACTCCCTCCAAAGCCAATTGGGTGCTTCATTGGGTGTGGTGCCCCGAACTACTCACCAGAATTTTTGGTTAAGCAAAGGTTTTAAGAGATATGGGCCAAAGGCAGGTATATGGAGCAAGGCTACAGAGTCACCACGATCTCCAACTATTCGCTGTTACTGATGACACTGAATGTCAAGAAGGATAGACAAAAACAGAAATTGCTGGAGAAACTCAGCAAGTTTGCCAGCATCTGTGGAGAGATATTAACATTAGCCCTGCTTTCTCTTCACTGGTGTCAGACCCAGCTGAGTTTTCTAGCAATTTCTGTTTCTCTTTCAGATTTTCAGCATCTGCAGTTCATTATTTTTTGAACACTGACAGACAATTAGCTGTGTAGAGATTCAAAGAAGAACCTAATTATATATTCACCAGATGATGTGGTGCATACACATTAAGTTAGGACAGTCATCAGGAACAAAACCAGCAACGTCAAGGACAAACTCAGCACCTTGAACAACTGGATTCAGTCAACTCAGTGCTGAGCAAAGACTGAACTAAATACTTTCCAAGTTCGGATTGATCAACCGTTCACTAGTTAAACTTTCAGAAATGGAAGGAAGCACAAAAAAAAATTATTTCAACTGCAAGCCCTGTAAGACTAAGATGGACACTTACTCTCCAAGCACAGGAACCTCATAGCTAGAATCAATGATAGCCAACCCAGCAGGAACTGCAGCAAAGAGCAACAGTCTTGGTCTTCCAGTACTTTTTCCCTCAGCTTTGAAGGCTGCCACCATTTCCTAGAAATTAGAAATGAAAAAAGATTCACTTAGTTACAAAACCACACAACCAGGAAGGTTTCAAGCTGAAATTAAAGAAACCTCTGACTTCGTAAACATGTATTTGTGACCAAGTGTCACATAACTGTCCAGTTTAAGACTATAGTCAGAGGTAGGAATAAATTTAAATGGAACCCAGATAGAAAGTTGTTATTACATGGGGCCAAAACAATGGTCAAGGAGACTACTGTTAAATTATATTGATATGTTATTTCAAATATTTCACATTTGAACATTCTTTTTTGATATTAGCAAAGGCTGCCAAATAATATTTTAAAACTGTGTAAAATGCATGTATAATTGGTTAGGATGCAGATCCTTCAAGATCTCACTGACTGACAGAGCAGGTTAGATGACCTCAATGACCTACTCTTGTTCCTACCTTCTTATGTCTTTGGCAAGTACCTTCAGGGAAAATGCAAATTTACAACAATGTTTGGAAGCTCTTACATTTTAGTTAGTAAACTGAGCGTTCGGTTAAATGCATTTGGTCCTACCTGAGCCAACAGAATGAAGAGATGTTTGACTTATAACCCAGGATATTCCTAGTCGATATCCAAACCATCAAACCCATAACCACGCAGGAAGTTAATCACAGACTTCATAAAAATTTGTCGAGTTTCTGATGAGGACACCATAGCAGTGAATCTAGAGGAGAGGTGAATGTTAAACAAAGTCAGAATAGATGTATTTTGCATTCTGTAATTTCCCTTGAACATTTTAGAGCTTCATATATTTTATAATTTTAAATATATGACAAGTCATAATTTGGAACTATATAGTTATAACAGGGAATTGCATTTTGTCACTTTCAATAAGCATTCAATCAATCTTCACTGGCGTGTTAATTTAAAATAATTCTTTGTCAAAATTGCTTAATTTTTCCTTTATGACTAAGATCATCTTGAAAATATTGTTTGAATTATAATTTCATGACAGCTGAATAAAGGCACTCTCATTAATGGCAACCTAGGCATATGTCTAAAACTACACAGTTAACATTTCCAAAAGCATTGATTTGACACCAGCTTATTTTACAGTACAACATATTACTGCAAATATTAAAACAGAATAATTTAATCTTACTTCTGAGTTCCAAAGTTCCAGCCTCCGATGGATAGAAGTGTCTTGAGATTTGCATTTCTGTTGTAAAAATTAACAAATTGCCCTTTTAGAATAAGGAGTATAAACAGATGTGATTACTAACACTTCAGCAACTGCTAAAAATCAATATTGTCCAATCTTTATAACACTTACTCCTTTTTGGTACCAAATGTTAATGGAGCAGAAATCCCTCAGGCCTGTACATAGTTAAAATGATGTCCCACAGGAAAGAGGATGTTCAGTTCATGTAGGTTTGTGGGCATCACTGACAAGGTCAATATTTATTGTGCATCCATAACTGTGCTTGAGAAGGTAGTGATGAATCAACTTCTTGTATTGCTGCAATCCATCTGGTGCATATACTTGTGTAGTGCCGCTAGGAAGGGAATTCCAGGATTTTGATCCAGGAGTACTGAAGGGACAGTGGTATGGTTCAAAGTCGGGATTAACATGCCATGGAGAGCAACGACCATGTAGTGATGTTGCCATGTCTTTCCGGATGGTAGAAATCATGGGTTTGGAAGGAGCTTTGGTGACTTACTATAGTGCATATATATGAAAGTATATGCCACTGTACATCAGTATTAGAGGAAGTGATTGTTTAAACTAATGGATACAACAATGATCAAATGAAATGCTTTGTGTTGGAATCTGTTGAGCTTTGAAGCAGCATTCATCTAGGCAAATGGACAGTATTCCATCATACCCCTAATTTGTACCTTACAGACAGTGGACCAGTCTTCTGGAAGTCTGGAGCTGAGTTACTCACCTCAAAATTCACCAGTTCTGACCTATTCTTCTATTGATGGTGTTTATATCAGGTGTCTTTAACATTGGCCTTGTTCCGTTTCTAGACAATGTTAATATCAGAAGATTGAAAGTGGAGATTCAGCAATGCTAATGCCATTAAATATCAAGGACAGATGGTTGTATTCCCTCTTGTTGGACATGGTCATTGCCTGACACTTGCTAGGCACAAAAATTTGCACTATTTATAAGCCCAAAGCTGAATACTATCCATGTCTTACAGCATGTGGACCCGGACTGCATCAATATCTGTGGAGTTGAAGATGGCATTGGATATTGTGATATTAACAGAAAACGTCCCTATCACTGACCTTAGGATAGAAGGGTGGTAACTGAAGAACCACCTGAAGGTGGTGAGGTCTAAAACACCACCCTGAGAGACTCCTGCAGCAATGTCCCAGGACTGAGATGTTTGGTCTCCAGCAATCACACACATCTTGTTCTGTGCTAGCAATGACTACAACTAATGAAGAGATTTCCCACAGACTCCCATTGACTCAAGTTTTGCTAGAATCCTTGATGCCACACTCAGTTAAATGCTGCCTTAATGTCAAAGGCAGTCACGCTCACCTCACACTTGGGGTTCAGTTTTTTAGTCCATATCTGAACCAGGGCTGTGATGAGGTCAGGAGCTGAGTGGTGCTAGCAGAACCCAACTTGAGCATCAATGAGCAGGTAATTGCTGTGTAGTGCCAGTTGATAATAGTGCTCATGACCCCTTCAGTTTGCTGATGATCGTGCAGAGGATGATGGGTAGTTATCAGTCAGATTGGATTCATCTAAATTATCAGACGCAAAGGTGAAATTTTGCATTTTGTTAAGTAGGTGCCAGTATTGCACCTGCACTGGAACAGCTTGGCCAGGGTGGTTGGATCATTATTTTGTATATGAAACAGTTTTCACAGAAATCTTGCTGGACAATACGCTGATTGCAGCTACTACAAACATTGACAGCAAAGCAGAAAACTGTAGATAGCAAGGGAGAAGATGAAATCAAAGAAACAAAATCACTTATGGAAGTTGTGTCAATATTATGAAAATGCTTAACATGTATTGATCAGTGTTTCGCTGGTTGGAATAGTTAAAATGCAAAGGCCACAACACTCACCTTATGATGGTGAGCAGAGAGGAAACTCCAGTTCTTTCCAAAGACCAGTGTTTTTGTGCATATGCATGTGCACAGACACTTATAATGTACTCAGAGTACAAGCGCCATCTAGTTGCACACTAGATGAAATAATCCATCAGCTTGATGTACAAGCTTAAGAATTCTGAATTGCAATGCTGATGCATTTTTTTTGTTTACATGACACAACATAGTAAAGTCGTGATTGTGTCAGGCATTGTCTGACCATTGGGTATTAAGTAACATTTGCCAATAGGACAGAAGTCAACAAAGCCCAATTCCACCCACATATGACCAAACTGGCTGGATCAGTCAACTTGTAGTTAGATATAAATGTGATTAGTTTTTTTAGAACAGGGCAAACTACAAAACTATAAAAAGAAACTCAAACTATACTAAGAATTGCCAATACACCCATAATATTTAGAGTATAGTTACACTTGTTTTTAAGTGTGTTGAAAGTGTGGTAGAGAGTCTTGCCATTCCATTCATAGGTGGTGATTTGATTGTCCTTCATTCCAGCAAAAGCGTAGATCAGATGTGTGCACAAGCAAGGGTCAACATTTTCTACTGTGTACTTTCCTGCTCCTGGTCTGTACTGAGCCCAGTTTGTAAAGTAATAAACCAGTCTGTAGGCAGAGCCTGTCAGTGATGACAAATGACAATCAGCACAGAGTTTCTACTCATTGCATGAAATTTAAAAAAGCTTTAAAAGTGCAAAGTCTTACCCAGTTCCAGGCATGCCAACAAGACCAATGCTGTAATTAAGAGTATAGAATAAGTATCAATATTATGATAGAAATATGCTTAAAGGTTCAAGGGTTCACAGAATTGGTATTGTATGACTGATTGGCATTCCCTAACACTTTATTCTTGGTAAGACTCCTTTCCTCAACTATTTGCTTCCCTTTGGTGAGATATTCAACAGTCATGGTGCTAGGATCTCCATGTACAGTGATAACTTAGCTGTACCTCAACATCATTTTCCCTTCACTGTTTCTGTTCTGTTAGATTTATTGCACAAAAGCCAGTCTTGGGTGAAACAAAACTTTCAACAGCTAATTAACGGGAAGACTGCATCCACCGCCTACAGCCCCGTCCATAACGTTCCCATCAACAGCTCACAGCTGCAAAATCAACAGATTGTTCACTACGCATGTTCTATTCAATTCCCTATTGAATTTCCAAGCCTGTATTCTCTACACCTCAAAGACAGACTAATTCTACCTTTCTACTTTAATGCATCATCTATCATCAACACCTTCACCATCTTCAGTCTCACTGGGGTAGAAAAAGACAGGATAATTAAGGAACTGGACCTTAACTAAATATTTAGCATGAGCTGTCAAGATTAGTCCTGCCTCTTCAGTTAGTCTGCCTTGCAAGAAAATACAGTTTAGTCAAAAGGGCTGCCGGTCGGAAAGTCTGAGGTGTCAGGAACAACTCTCCTGCCTCTCCCAGCTCTTCAGAAATGGGTTTTCTTCAACAAAGGTACTAGGTTAATGCAATTCATTTTTGTTTTAGATTATATTTTGAGTAATGGAATGTGTTAGTTTACTAACATGAGACAGTTAATCTGTGACCTGAACTGGACCTTTATTTTGAGGTACAAATTAAAATACAAGACCTTACATTGATTGCATGTGGCCATAATTTAGCTACATGTTAATCATAAGAACTTTTCCAGTTGATCTAGAAGCTCACAAGTTAGGTTAAGGAAATAGTTGTATCAAACTACAGACAAAAAATCTTTCAATTGCACCTGAATGTATTAGAAAGATATTGAGAATTCCATGAGCTTGAAATTTCAAGAAGTGTAATTGACTTTGAATGATAATACTCCAAACAGGAAAAATACAGGCAAAGAAAAAGTTGCAACAATTATTATCTATGTTCAAAAGGTTATTTTATTCAGTTGGTCATGGACAAATTTCAGGTAAATGAACGAACATAAATTGAAATGCCAAACAACTTTCTGACTACACTCTTACAAATAAGGTTTTTTTTTGGGGAAATCATACTGCACTTGACCATTGTGGTTAGATGGCATTCCTTCATTAATTTAACCAGTTAGTTCTCACTAGGTTAGTGCTATTGCTAAAATATCAAGTGTAGTGAATTCTTAAAGTTGTACAGCCATTGCTCGATATAGCCTAACTCTATTTGCATTACCTTCACCAGTACAAGTAGTTCAGCTATAACATCTGTTTCATTAATGCCAATTGGCTGTAATGGGATTGATGAATAGTAGATGCTGTTTGTATAGTATGAACTTTCTGCTGTAGAGGTATAGCAATTTTCTATAGTGATTTCCCTATAACGCGCTTTTTGATGGCAATTTTCTATAGCACAAGGTCACACAAGAACGCAACTATCGCGTTATAGGAGAACTATCTGTACTTAATAACGGAAGAAGTTGTACATAAAAATTAGCATGGATCCATGGTTGCTGTCCAGCATGACTGTAGCTTAATGTTGTTTTTCATCTGAATACAAACATTCATATTCACCGTACAGTCGCAAAGCACATAGTGAAGGAACAAGAGGTGGCTAATCTAATGGGTCATATGCAGTGAACTGAGAGCATGCTACCACAATAAAGTATCTTTAGTTAATCCAGCAAAGAATCAATTCCTTTATAATTGGAGTTGAATTTGGGAAAAGTTCTACGCCCTCTTCAAACCCAACAAATTTAGAAAGAAAGGTCTTAGCATATCAGAGATAATAAATGTTTATCTGTTCCAAGTAGAAGCTTTGCCATCTTGTAGCAGGTATGTTGTCAGCATCAATTGTCACTTTTATACACTGAGCTTATCTTACAAGGCAAATAATTCCACACGCTATTAGTCTTATCACTGGAAAAATATCGTTCTTAATGGAACAGTAATAACTTTTATCTTCATATTATTATCTTCACTTGAATAACAACTTATTCCCTGTGCAATGTCATCTAGATTGTCGACCTTCATTGTAACTCCAGTCTTGGGTTTGTTCTATAAATGAAGGCCAGAAACTAGAAGGGGAGAGGCAAGCAGCCATGCCTTTGTAATTTGGGATCAGGGATAGATCTTCCTGTTGGGTAGTGTCTTGTTGGGATTTGCAACCCAGCAAATGGGGAACAAAACTATTGGGCAATCTTAAGGGGAAACATTGCTCATGCAAGATGAGAGGGACCCTAATTTAAATGAACTGTTTCCCACTTTCAGTGTTACCAATGTGCACTTCCAACAACAGTGCAGCAACGTTAGCTTACTAGGGAGGCAATGGTCTATTGGTATTATCGCCGGACTGTTAATCCAGAGACCCAGATAATGTTCTTAGGACACAGGTTCAAATCCCACCATGGCAGATTGTAGAATTTGAATTCAATAAATATCTGGAATTAAGAGTCTAATGATGACCATGAATCCATTGCCAATTGTTGGAAAAAACCCATCTGGCTCACTAATGTTCTTTAGGGAAGGAAACTGCAATCCTTACCTGGTCTGGCCTACATGTGACTCCAGACCCACAGCAATGTGGTTGACTCTTAACTGCCCTCTGGACAATTAGGGATGGGCCAGAAATGCTGCCTGGCCAGCGATGCCCTCATCCCATGAATGACTTAAAAAATTTTTAGCTTACGCAGCAAAGAATGCACTTTCATTCAGATTGCCATACTTTGAGGAGACTCAGTGGCAGAGTAGTAATATCACTGAACTAATGATCTAGAAGCCCATGTAAATGTTCTTGGGAGATGGGAACTATTAATAAAAATATTGATAATTCTATTAATAAGTATGGAAAATACAATAATAGCAACCACGACAAGTATCAGTGATTCTTGTAGAAATCTGTCTGGTTCACGAATGCACTTTAGGGAAAGAAATAAAGAATGGGCAACAAATGGACAAGAAATGCCTAAATCCATTAAAAAATAAAGAAAAGAACATATCCTGCCTCAATTGTTGGGGGTCAATTAGGCTCTTGTCTATCAAATTGTTGCTGAGCACTTAATATTGAACACAGAATGTCCTGGAAGCTTTGAAAAACGCCTAATTAACCATATGAATTACCAGTATTCCATTCGAGATGCACAGAAAAATACACTGAGCTGAAGATAAATCCCAAGAATATAGTGGATGAGTTAAATGAATGATGCTGAACATACTCAAGAGACTGTATTTCCTAATTTTGTTCAAATTTCTTCTGTTCCTGATGTTATATCCAAAATGTTGAAGCGATAATGGTCAAAAGGATTTCAACAGATATTTTCCTAAATGTCCTGTTCAGAGGTGTTATTACATCTCTCTCAAGCAGGTGGTACTAGGTCAGAGGTAGGGACATTACCACTGTGTCACAAGACCCAAAGATTGCTGGGTCTTCTTATCATAAACTGCCCCTGCGCTTATCATAAACTGCACCTGTTTAAAGGAGCTATCTAACTAACCCCCCTCCACTGCTTTTCCCTCAAAGCCATGTAAATATTTTCCTTTCAAATACTGAACCAATTATTTTTTGAACGTTTCTATTGGAGCTGCACTCGTACCCTTTCAGGTAGTGCACTTCAGTGCACACAAAAATGTTTCTTCATGACACCTCTGGTTGTTTAAGTGATAGCTATAAATTGCTGTCCATTGTTTAGTGACCTTCAGCCTTTAAATTATTCTGCTATCGCAGTGCATCATGTTTCCTTTAAATATTTGTTTGACTAAAGCAACTTTTAATTGGCTTTGCAATGTGTCTTTGTGTTCACAGGTACCTTACACTGGTTGTAGGATTCCAAACAAAAAGGATCTTGGAATTTGAACTTCTCAGTTGCTCCATGGAGCCTGGATCATAAGACCATAAGAAGTAGGAGCAGAAACAAGCCATCCAGCCTGCTCTGTCATTCAACGAGATCATGGTTGATCTGATTATCTCAACTCCACTTTCCTACCTTTTCCACGTAACGCTTGATTCCCTTACTAATTAAAAATCTATCCATAGTGGAGCCAATAAAATTGAGTTATTCAAGGGGACAGAATTGAAGGAATGCAAGTAGCTCAGAGGATTGTAGAGGAGATTACAAGGATAGGGATGAATTTGAAAATCAAGATAAGACTTTTAAAATGAAGACATTGCTTGACTGGGCATCAGTGAGGGTCAGTGAATATTGGGTTGAGAGTGGAATGGGAGTTACTGACTTAATACAACAGAGTTTTGGATGATCCCATGTTGAAGTCATAGAGTAATACAGCATTGGAAACAGGCCTTCAGCCCAACTCGTCCATGCCAACCAAGTTTCCTAAAGTGAACTAGTCCCACGCCCCTCTAAACGTTCCCTGTCCGTGTACCTGTCCAAATGCCTTTTGAATATTGTAACTGCACCCACCTCTGAATCATAGAATCCCTACAATGTGAAAACAGGCCCTTTGGCCCAACAAGTCCACACTGGCACTCAGAGCATCCCACCCAGACCCATTCCCCAAACCCACCTAATTGACACATTCCTGAACACTATGGGTAATTTAGCATGGCCAATCCACCCAGCTTGCACATCTTTGGACTGTG